CTGCACGTGTTTATGTCCGCAGGGAACGTTACGTTGCTTCACGCATCCGCTACATCATATATATAGACGGCATAAGTTTCCACTTGACCGAATTTGTGGATTGGAAGAATACACATCTTATCTCTATCCACTCAAATATCTAAAAAAAAAAAAAAAAAAAAAAAAAAAAAAAAAAAAAGACGACAGCGAATTTATATCCCTGCGATTCTTAGACTCGCATCGATATCGAAGAACAATTTCGAAAAACGACATACGCATGGATACGTTCGATACACAGCGCTTTATTTATTTATTTATTTTGTTTTTTATCTCATAAAATATCGTCTTTTTCATTTCCCCATTACATCCGAATGAATCGGCGAGTAGCCGAGCGATATATCGAACACGGTAAACGACCACTTGTGTGTGCGAGAGAGCAAAAAGGAGGGTATTGTTAAGGGCCCTGCGCGATATCTAAAGCTATATAGGTGGTTCTTCTCTGGACGCAGCACGCACGATGGTGTGTATATATATTATTGTATTATACATGTGTGTATGACTTTCGTATGTGCATACGTAACGACGCGTTTCCGCGAGAGCTCCAGCCGGATATCAATGAGAAAAACGCGACTCTCTCTCTCTCTCTCTCTCTCTCTCTATGTATATGATATATATCATTAGTCACCCTCCATACACACACACACACACCCATCTTGCAATAAATTTATTTTCTACAAACGTCGCAGCCTCTATGCGCGGCGTTTTTTCTCGGTTCTAAACACCGCGCTCGAAAATTTTCTCTCGACGCGATGATGTTTTAAACATCGGCGCGCATGAAATGCGTACAAGTTGTGTGTTATATATTATGCGGAAATTCGTGAACTTCGTATGTCAAGGCGTTGCCTGCGAGCGATATATACGCGGTGTTCCACATCGCGCGTATATAATATTTTGCACTTTGAATCTATAGGTATTGATTTCGACCTGATATGCATACAGAGTGTCCGACAATTACTTTAACATCTCTCGTAGGCAGGATCTTACGAGTACGACTAAAATTTTGTGCAATGACCTTTACGCGCTCGAGAACAGCCCGATGCATGTGCTTATTCGCGGATTTTTTTGTTAATTAAGATATTTCGATAACTGTTGGGAATCTCGCAAAATGGTACAGGACTTTTCGACTCAGCTTTACTCCAACTACCTGCCCACGAGAAATGTTAAAGTAATTGTCGGACACTCTGTATACATGTACGCGCGTTTTTTCTTCGTCGCACGTGCAAACCGAGTTTCACTCACGGAAAATGTGACTCTCGTTGCATATGTATAATACGCGACACGACAAACCGGACAGACTATTTGAAAACGCCGCGAAAGAAACGATAGTTAATAACAGTCGTACATAAAGTACGCGCGTGTTAGTTTTGCTTTCTCATATTGCAAGTTAAGCAACTAGCAATATGCGGTACGTATGTAATTATCATTTATCTTTCTTGCGATTTGGTAAAGTATCCAACTTATATATTATATACATACATCGTGAGTAACGTGATTTTTCGTCGGTCATTTAACACAACCGCGCGCACGGCACTCTGTTGATACGACCGAAACTTTCTCCGGAAAGTTTTCCTCTTTCTATACGAAGTTTACAAAAGGGGAAAAGCGTATAACAACAAGTAGCTGAGAGTATACTCTTATAAATGTGTATAACAAACTTGCAAATAAAAAAAAAAGTATTGCAAACTAATGGCGATATTTCACCTCTATTTGCGTGGTCCAGGTGCAACCGAGTTCCATCAGCTGCTGCGCGAATTTGGGCCACTCCTGACGCGAATGCAGGCAACAGATAAACACAGCAAGACTTTTTTAAAGATACAAGTGTACAAGAGGCAATGCAAAATCAAACGTAATTATGCTGTCGAAAATTAGTTTGTTTTTGTAATAAGAGATTAAATTTCCACACAAATATATATTAAAAAGATCTCCCCTGCTAAACTATTCGACAATATACTTTTTTTTTTTTTTTTACGTCGCAACGCCGTATTTATTTTTGTATATATAATTAATTACGCATTATAATTTCTTATTGAACGTATCGGATTAAATGTGAGGAATACCGACAATCGTAATTTGACGCCTTTATAAAGAATGCAACATTTACAACCGATTGCGAGTGGAATATCAAGAACCCAAGAATAATTCATGCGAATCATTTCGCGTGAAGAGAATAATTCATCGCTTCGCATTAATTATAATCACAGCTTTGAAGGTTGACCGGCGGAGAGAAGAATGCATATTTATACGGTGTGTATCAATTCAAACTAATTACACGGTGGCTCTAAACAAAACTAAAATAAAATGTGGGTTGCTCTGAAAGTTTCCGCAAAATCGTATACAAACGTATAATTAATTTTTGAAATGAGATATCTCTAGAAAGAGACAGAGACAAAATGCTTCGACAATTGGTTTAATCAAATGCAAAAGTGTAACGGAGAGTATTTAGAAAAACAATAAAGCCAATTTCAGAAATTAATTATACGTTTGTATACGATTTTGCGGAAACTTTCGGAGTAACCCACATATTCCGAGCGAAATATCAGTTGACGTTTCGTCAAATGTAATGCGTTCGAAATATATTAATTAAAAAACGTAACGTAAAGTTTCTTTCTAATTCAAATTTTTGTTCCTTCATCAACGTTTATATCGATTCATTCTTCGCATCTGTTATTCATTAAATATAAAACAGTTCAGAGAAGCGTGTCTGATACTTACCAGTCCCTTCTCGACATGCATAAAAAGAGATTGAGCGCCAATTAGAGGATCGAGTATCCTTTAATTACTTATAATTGATAAACTGTGTTTGTGGTTTATGTAATTAAAGTCCGTGCCGGATAAGATCGAGCGTATATATACGGAATCGGAGAAATCGTTTTAGCGTCCGTCATCATTACGCGAGCACGCTTTGTCGGTGGAATGAAAAACAAAAAAAAAAAAAAAAAAAAAACCATTTATCACGATCTCTCTTTTGTTAAAAAAAAAAAAAAAAAAAAACATCAAATCCTCTTAACGACACGGCGAAATGAAACTCGCGCGAATATTTCTGACATTTCGTACATCTATGTCGCGAGCGTCGCAGCACGCGCGGAACGCGCTCACTCACTCTCTCTCTCTCTCTCTCTCTCTCTCTTTCTTTCTCTCTGCGCGGAAGTCCGTACGCAATTATGTGCCGGAGTATCGTGTAAAGCATGCAGCGCGCATACGGGTCTTGCGTTCCAAACTGTACGAATTCTGTCAATTCAGATAGACAGATTGACAAAGTGATCAGGCGACGGCATGGATATTACGCACGAATATGCGCACACACTCTTCCTATCTCGGATTTACTAACCGATTATTTTTAAACCGATCGTTTTTCGGGAATGGTCGTCTCTCGGCCAAAATTGGTCAAAATTATCGAACGAATCTTTGCCTTTTTCCAAGATAAAGTATCGCTGACAAAGGCGATGTCAAACACACGGTTGGACCGCTGCCAATGTGTCAGTCGAACAGCAAACAGCTTTTCTAAGAGCGCTTTTTTCTTCTCTCTCACGAATGAATAATTCGTGCCGATTTGTATCTGAGATTGTGTACGGAAGAATGTCGCAAAAGTCGTTATTGCGTTGCTTTTTTTTTCCTTTCACATTTCGACTTTTTTTTTTTTGACCATTTCGAACGCACCCTCTTCGATCACTCTTTTTATCTCTCTCTTAAATCATGCTTAAAAATGAATGACTCACGTACCATTGTGAAGTGCTCGAAATCCTGTTGTAGGGCTGCAGCTTGTGCCTGATTGATGAAATAAGTATTCTGATCGATAGTATCGGGCGTCAAGCTGGGTGGACCCGGATGTCCTGTAGGACTAGGTGGCGCCGATGGATTATTGCTGTAACTTAAGGGACTTCCCTGAAAACAAAAAGGCGCGTTGTTTCTCAAACTCGTTTCCTATGTGTTATGAGTAAAATTATTATTTTTTTTTTTTTTTTACAGTGAATAAAATCAAGAGTTACGTAGATTAAAATTACGCATTTATCGTTATTTAAATTATCGCAACGTGTGTATCGACGGTTTCTTTATTCGAAAAGCTAAAAACAATGTGAAAGGATTGTTTAGAAGATATCTATCAATGTTTTACAATAAAAAAGAGAGTGATCTCACTTGAACTGTTAGACTAGGTGACGATTGCGGCGATGGTCTGTTGACCGGTTGCGTGGACCTGTACGACCCCAACGAATTGAGCTGTTGTTGCGATTGTTGATGATGCTGATGCTGCTGCTGCTGCTGCTGCTGCTGCTGCGACTGTGACGTTTTCTGCGTATCGAGAGTGAGAAATGATAAATGGCCATTAGCAACAATCACTTGTGTCGTAACTTTGTTATCCAAGAATTATCGCACGCATAGACGATATAATGAATTTAAATAACTATTTTTTGGCATCTTAAATTCTTCTGAGAAATGATCTCTGCCGGTGTGATAAAAAATCCACAAGATATAGTAACTTGTTTCAAGATACATAGAGATCTGTACCAAAGTTTTACAAAGAACTGTGCGTTTGTTATAACAAATTTAGCAGCTACAAACACTAGAATTGAATCATCGTCCTTCTCTATATCTTTCAGATTATTGATGGATGAGAACTTTCAAATAAATAAGCATAAGTAATATTTTCTGCGGACGTGTTAGAAATTTTTGGAACAACCACTTCCGAGATACTAACTGGACTTTGCGGTTGCACGGAACTGTGCGATTGTTGATAAATGTAGTGGCCAGCGGTAGGGCTGTGAGACGTCGCCGTTGGCGCCGGTTGCTGCTGATAGCTCTGAAGATCCTGTTGCGAAGTACTTGTGCTGTTTTCCAGTGCCACACCCTGCTTCATACCCATCGCTATTAACGATCGATCGTCGCACCAGTCGCCTCGTTTCATTTTTCTTTCTCTCATATTTTTTTTTTTTTTTCGCGCGCTTTCGCGTAAGTAACCAAACTCAACTTGGAACACAGTTGCACAACAGGCTCGCATAATCGGATCTAAACGTTTGACTTCAGCACCGGAAGCGGTTCGCCGCGACAATTTACTCTATCAGAATTGGCAACAAAATTCAAACTCAGCTCTTACTTAAAGCGTGCTCGCTAACACATTTTTACGAACACTCTCTGTCTGGCAGTTGAAAAGACTCTCTTTTTGAACAACAATAAGAACTGTTCACGAGATAAGTTGCGTCTCAAATTGACTTCTAAACACACTACATCTCTCGCAATTCTCGCATTCTCTATCTATCGCTACATCGAGACGTTTGTAAAAAAAAAAAAAAGTCACACATAGTATAAATATTCACACGCTACTTGCCGTGTGAAAAGTGAATTATTTACATAAAGACTAAGACTAGGAACCTTGGAAGAGATTTATTATTGCGCAATATTTTGCTCTCGTTTTCTTTTCTGTCTGCCAGTTTATATGCGATTATAGTTGTAAAGTTGATTTCTCGTTTCTTTCGCGCTTATCAGGCAACAAAAATTAGTTGCGGCGAACCGAATATGTTACATACACGCTACGCGTTTAGCATATATACTATTGATTGTATTTCAAGTTTATCTAGCCAGCTCGGTGCTATATAACAAGCAGAACAGTAAAAATGCCACGGCGCTAACAGCCGTCGCCGACTAAGAGAGGCAACAACACAAGCGTGTATACGTATACTATATATATATACACATATATACATATACATATATATATATATATATATATATATATATATATGTATAACCGTTATTACATACGCGTCGTGAGAAACTGGTGTGACTACTAACCTTACACGTGTGAAGATACCTAGAGTTAACAGGCACTGATAAATGGTTCTGCAAAATAACAAACACAAACAAACCACTACAACAAAGGCAAAATAAAAAATAAATAGAAAATTAAAAGAGACGCTAGCCGCGGGGATAGACGCGCGCTATTTTTCCGTTTCTGTCCGAATTGGTTTTTTTTTCCTTTTTTGTTTTGGACTGTCATTAAAATGCACGTCCTGATGTTAACAACGAACAGAAACGGACAACAAAATAACCGTAAAATGTTGTCGGACTGTTCTTTTTGTTTTGTTTTTTTTTTTTTTTTGGTCGTCAAAACTGTGTCGCGTCACAGTGACGTAGATTTTTTGATTGCATTTCCCGATCTACATCATTTTGCAGTGCTCTTTAAATGATCAGAATATTAATAATGTCGGGACGCATTTAGGTTACAGTTAAGTACTTTCTATAGAGCGTGCTACAAAAGTTTCATTTCGAATTGAACACACGCTGCGTAACAACGCAATGTAATATATTCCCGTTATTTTATGTTAATCACAAATAATTACACTATAAAAAAAGTCGACACTCGGCGCTACGACAAAATTTGTTCAAATACATCAAGAAAACATGCTGCAAATTATCCTTTTGTGAAAAAAGAAAAAAACAAACGTTCGAATACTTGTTTTTAAGCGTTGTCGAACGATACTGATTTAGGGATGATTTATACTATATATAACGTCATACTATATATAACGTCATACTATACGTAACGTCATACTAAATGTAACGTCATAAGTCGATCCCGTCAATAAACCGGTCATCAAATACAAATTTTAAATAGACTACGGTCCGATTCATTGACGGGGTTCATTCAAGAACTGATTCGTTATACGTCACTATCGCGTCAAGCGTGACGTCAACAAATCATCAAATATTCTTACATGTGTTTTTGAATGCAACGCTCCGGTCAGTTGACCGTTAACGCGAATGATACCATTTAAAATCGAATCTAAGAATATCTGACGGTTCGTTGCTGCGACGAGACGCTACAAGTTAGTTCGCAAATAAGTTCGGTCTCCAAAAAGAAATTTGTTACCGTAAAAAATACTTTGCGATAAATCGTAATTTTTATTTGCAACTGAGAAGTTCTTGGTATCAAACATAAAAATCATTACAGATGGAATTGCGTATAACTTCGAATTATCTAAAACAAAAAAAAATTGTTTTTTCCGAATTAAATTTATTCACGAATCGACCTGACGTAATACGAATCAATCCTAATATGAATAGTGTAAGAAACCAGTTTGTTGACGGTGATATTAGCGTGTAGCGTGAATCGACTTTTAGCGTAGAAGCGTCTAGTTGCATGCGAAAAATGCTGCACCAGAGAAATTTTTCTCGTTCCGCGCGATAATGTATGCAGTGCTTCTTCTTTACGAATAGTAATGTTTTATTACAATTTTCTATTTTTTATATCACGCAATATTTGTATATTGTTTAACTGTTCGTCAAAGAAACACACACGATCCTCTAGTAACATTTTTTTTGAGGAAAGCAACTGCGACATCTCAAAATTCTGGAGTTATTCTAATCGTCTATAACATTTACATAAGAAAGCACAGGAAAGCACAAAGTGTTCTTTTCATGCAACCATTGCATCCTAAATCACATTCTGCAACAAACAAAATTGCTTCACGGAACCGAGATAACTCGTTACATATATTATAATTCCGAGTTGTTTGTATTTTATATCTTGAATATATTTTGGACAACACAAACAAGTTTTTTTATTTATTTTTGCTTATTTGGAAGAAAGAGAGATTTATCTTATTTTTTAGCTACACTCGTAGAAAGAAACACGTTCTTCTCGATTCCGTGATTTGCCACGAACATTACGTAATATCCAAAACAAATTATGTGACAATTGCAACAAGTACACCAAACTAGATTAACTCTCAAGTTTAATCCCAACACGTGTCCTCGCCCGTAGAGGTTTCAGAAACCGATGTTTTTTCTTATTTTTTTTTTTCTATACGAATGATGTGCAATAAATTGTTTTCGGACATTTCGTATGCGCTATTACGTGTGCGACAGCGGTTCTTAACTGAGGTCTACGAATTGATTTAATATCCCGCGTACACACCAGGATTACGAGACACAGATGTTCGATAATCTCCCGAAAAGAAACGAATAAATTTTTTCGTTTTGTTTGTTTGTTTGGAAAACAAACTCGTATTGCTCGTGATTACAGATCCGCTACGCTACAACTATATATAGCAGTAGGCGCACAGTCTACAGTTAATTACGGGGCCGCGAGGATATTTACTTGGACGCTTGACGGATCCTGTGAAAAGGAGAGCCTACCAGCTTGTGCCAAGCTGGTCGGCGACAGGTTTGTGGGACTGCTCGTTTGAGGACTCTGGAATACACCAGCGATTTCGACCATTTCAAAAAAGAGATTTTTCATTGCAACACAAAGAATCTACTTTGTTCGCAGTCCGCCCGCGCGCGCAACTTCGCGGCAAACTCGCGACGATCTCGCGACGAGCGGAGAAAACGGAAAGAAATACGAGAGCTAACGATCGTAGTAACGAAGGAAAAGAAGAAATAATAAAATGCCATTACGAGGAAGAAAAAAACGCGCAATGCAAACGAACAATTTCAATATCGACGTCTGTCTTTCAACTTCTTTAATCGGATATTTCTCCGCGGGCGTTATCAATTGTTGATACGTTAAGTTAGTTCATCGGGTTTCGTTATGTGTGCAATACAGAAAAAAACAAATTGCACAATACCGACATCGACGAAAAAACCGCGCTCTTTTGTAACGAAAATAAATGAAATTTTTTTCCCTGTAAACAAAGCGTCCGCGATAATATCGGACGCGGTCAACGTATTATTACGCGTTTGTAAATATACGCAGTTGTAATATGTGCATAAAGACGCTTTTGGCATTTAATTTAAAACGAAATCTTGATTTTCACAGAATCTCTGAACTCGACCGCGTCGATCTCTCAACTCGGCGGTGGTCCAAAAGAGATTAACGAGTTCTGATACCGCGAAAACAAGTAAAGTCTAATAAAATTGATAAAATAGAGCAAATTTTATCGCGCGCATCTAGACCGAACGGAATTAAATTAAATAATTAAATGGCAACGCCGCACTTATTTATAGAATCTGTTTGACAATACATTCGCGAGAAAAAAAAACTGACAATCTTGTATATTTCACGTTTTCTCGTGCATAACTTTTTGTTTTCACGCTCGGAGGAATACATCGATTTAAACGTACAAAACTTAACACAGCAGACTTGTGTCTCCGAAACGCTTTTAAAGATATTTCTCCGAGCGTCGAGAAAATAGTAAAAAAAAAACAAAAAAAAAACGTCGCTGTAAAAGCGATGAAGACTCAGTTCAGAAATGTGCAGCCTCGCGAGAAGTGCGTGTAAATTCAAGAGAAAAGAGAGTAGAGAACGTGTTGTTTATAATCGGTAAAGTATCGGAACATGATCGATGTAATCGACTTACATTGCTGAATGGCGTACTACTCGAATGATCCTCCTGATCCAAAGGAGTGTGAAGGGGTGACGGGAAGTGCACGTTGCTCAAGTCGGGCAACGACCCCGTGTTGTTGCCTATCGGTATTTGCTGTCCCGGTGGCTGCGAGCTCGGATATATACTGAAATAGAAACCATCGCCAAAAATTAACGCAATTTGAACGAGAGCGAGTTTTGTCGGACGTTAAATTAATTTCGCGATATATTGATCTGTACTCGCGGGCGTAAAAGAGGTTGCGCGAGAGTTACGGATATGTGTATTATGTGAATATTTTGCGAATTCAAATTGGCCGCTTGGCTCGGTAAAACAGAGAGAGAGAGACAATCGCAGAGATAATTAAGTTTCTCAAACAGCGCGTATAATTTTATTTATTTGTCAATATATACGTACTTGATCCCAGGCACTCTAGGCATTTCGCACGACGATCGTGGTCGCTCGATGAAGCCATGATGAGAATCTCTGTTGTCGCCCCCGCTTCCGGTTATAGAATGTTGATCTGTTAATTACAGAATACAAGCGATTTATGAGCGTTTTCGCAAATTGCGCGCCGCATCGTCGCGCGTATAAAGAGCGGCGCGCTGTCAATACGTGTCGCATTAACAAGCTGTGCTTGCGCGCGCGGGCGCCTATACGTTTTCTCATTTCAGTTTTGCTCGAAGCTGTATAAACTTATGTCACTGTGTGTGTACACGTATAAAACGATCACTTTGGTCGCAGCATCCTTTGTTACGGTTGAGAAGGCAGAATGTGTGTTTCTCAGCTATCCGATTTCCCCCGGAGCAACGTAATACCGCTTACTAACGTCGCTATATAGTTACACGTGTAACGTTACACGTGTCTTTGTTGTCTGAACGCAAAATCACTCTGCGAACTTTCGCGGGATCTACCTCCCTGGCGGGATTTAAAGATTAATTAATTAACAGCTAAAAAAAAAACAAAAAAGAATATATCGCGTTACATTACCTCCGTCTCGAAGAGAAAGGAGAACTTCGTCCGAGAGTGAGGGAAGGGAGAAAAAAAAGAAAGAATCGATCTTATAATTTGCGCGTAATATAAAACGAGGCAATCAACACTTTGAGAGAAAATGAGCTCAGTGAATGCTTAACAAATAAATTTAATTAATCGGAAAACAAATTAAGAGAAGTAACACAGTTTTGCGAACTTCAATGCGGAAAGAGCGAGAGAGAAAGGTGTCGTCTTAAAAGGATTTAATTAGTTTTTGCTAAGGAAGATCGAATGAAAACTGACTGAAACTAACTGTAGTGCAGGAATTTTCGAAAGATTCGAAACTCGCAGAAGCTCGTAAACGCGCGAATTGCTTTGAAAAGCAAGCGTCGAGCTCGCGAGGTCAGTCAGTCTCTTCGCGAAATTTTCCGCAGACAACTTCCCCACTTGAGAAGAAAACGAGAGAAGCGGTTGTCGCCGCGCTTAATAACGAGGTAACGAGGCAAATGTGATAATGGCGGGATTTCTGTCGAGTCGAGCCATTCGTGAAATCGCGTCTCAGAACTCAAAGAAGGAACTTCATTAATACGATGACTGTGCCGAACGGTGCGCTGAGAATCTATAGCTATCCGCCCTCGGTGCGAATATTCGATCACGCTCGAGCTCTCAAACGGCGACGACGACGGGAAGGAGAGCGGAGAAACGCGATTTTGCTTTCACGCGAAATGAATCATGCAAACTGTACCGCGCGCGCGGCATTATCCGATCTTGTAAGGTTGGGTCAATTATTAACGATTGACGAAGTAATATTTCATACAAGAAGTGGTAAGTTTCTTTGCAAGATGTCTTTAATTAATCGCCCTTCTCTTTCGCCTCAACAAGCGAACAAACGCGAGCGGGTAAATGGAACCGATATAATATACATAAGGTGTTCAGATAAGACACGTGCCGGATGTTTCTCAATCAAGATACATCGGGTTTGCGCAAATAACAAGATAGAACGAACGCGGTTCTCGATTCTTAACACGAATTCGCGTTAATTTTCACATAACAACGAGGAAATTAACATAATGCGAATAAAATTCCACGTATCTTTCAAAAATTGTCGGCAAAAAGATCTCGGCAAATCAAGCGACACTTGTACTTTTCTCGCGGCGAGAGAGAAAGTCTCGATTATACAAATTCGGGGAAATACGCAAGTGTAATCGTGTCTGTCTGGTATCGAGAGAGAAAGCGCGTCTAAAACAGGTTGAAAACGTATGTGATAGAAAATAAACAAGAAAAAATCCGACATGCGTCGCTACCTCGTCGATGAGGTATAGCGGAGGTCGACTGGCAAGCTTCGTTGGCGCTCTGATGCAAAGCCGAGTCCGAGTTCGTTCTTCGCCAGGTGTCCGGCGGAGGTGGCGAGAGGTAAGGCACGCCGCTGTAGGGAGACGTGTCGTGTCTCTTCTCCATGGGCCGGGGTCGCATCGGTCCACCACCCATGCTGCGACTTCTGTTGTCACTGCGGTACACCATGGAATTGTGTTGCATCTCCTCGAGATTGCTGAACGCCGTCTGCAAATTACACACGTTTTTTCAAATTTTCATCGAAATTGCGGCGATCAAATACGTGCAACAATTTTCCAGCGTCAATCAACGGCTGTACAGTCGTGCGTGCGTTCGTGCGTGCGTGCGGTAATAAGCAATGCGTGTGTTGCGCGCGCATGCGTATTTAAGCGTCTTTTTAAAATCATCTAAATCCAAAAACTTCAAGTAATTATAGAGACATAAATATTATTATTTACAAAATAAAAGATTAAAAGATGCGTTGGCTCAGATCCGAGATTTAACGCGCGAGGACAACTGGATTCTTGATTAAATAATCAACGCGGTCCTCAAGAAATCTTGAGAATAATTTGCGCACGACCTTGCGAGGGGAAGGTGTTTGGAAGTCGGAGGAAACTAATCTCTATATTCGCGCGTATTTCTGCGGCACAAGTTTGCGAGAAACCTGTTCCTCTCCGGATCCTCTCTAACAACTGATCGTCGTAGCAGCGCTATTCAACGACGAAGGAATTTCCTCGTTTCACGAATCCTGTCTCATAAAACGTGCCTCCCATCTGCTTTACGATCCGCCATCACACACCGCGTCGCGCCGACGTTATGAGAGAGGCGATTAAAACGACGTAAACGAATTTAACGCAGATCCCTCCCTCCCTTCATGGAAATCCTATTCTTCGGGAGTGCGCCCGCCGTATATATCTGCAAGAAAATTTATTTCCCAGGCGGGAAACTTGGCGTTTGCTGCAAATTTCATCGGCATCTCGTGTTTCTCATCTTGGCGTATAATTATGTGTCGTAATCTACTGAATATATCGCTAACTACTCTCCGTTACTTTCCATCCGGGGCTATTTTTGTGCCGCGCGCATTTGATTATTATCAAGTTGCGCGCAGGCACAAACCGTATTGCTGCAACACACTTTTCTTTCTTCGCCGCGGCGCTCCTCGCCCGAGAAGACGAGGAGATACCTACTACGCGACAACGACGGAAAAAATGCATTTCTTTCCGGAGGCAATTTCTCTCTCGCTGCTGCTTTACATCTCAAGGTGAAAAAGACATTGTTGGAAATTAGATGTCGCTAACTCGGTCAGATAATACCGCGCGGATTTTTTTTTATTTTTTCCGCAGGAGACTCCAGGTGAGAAAGATTATATATCCCGATATTCTACAGACGCGGAGATCTAAATCACATCTTCCGTGAAGAATTAAATTGTTTTTCAGCGCTCCGAGCGCTGATCCTCGTATTTTCTCGCTCGTCTCTCGTAACCTTACGATCTGTAAATTTCAAACGCAAAAAACAAACGAGACAAAATTTTTACAGTGTACGGTACAGTGTGTGTGTGTGTGTGTGCGCGTGCGCGCACGGATTAACCAAATTATTTAAATTCCGTGTAAGTGTTCTCTTTCATCGAGGAACACGCGCTTTACTTGAAGGAGGGTTTTTCCCTCTCTTGTAAACCCCAATAAGAAAACATTAAGCGCCAGACTGACGGGAGATAAAACGATTTCGTTGAGATTTTAGCTTCCTGTTTGCAGCGGCAAAGACTTGCGAGTCCAATAAAGAAATCCGTGTTGATCGTCATGTGTCGGATGAACGTGGGTCGCACAGCTATTACCTAATATCTGTTGAATTATATGATAAACACGTCTCTCCCACGATTTACGGGCGTACAGAGCAAAGGATGTGCCAGTCGAGCGCTCGGTGTCATTCACTCGTGAATCACAGTTTCGAGAAAAAAAAAACAGAGACTGCGTTGTCCCTCCACATTATGTAACTTTGAAGTCACATACCGATATATCGATATTCTTTTGATCTAATTTCATTTTTAGCCACTTTCAACCATACACATTGTTTATCGCGAAAAAAAACAACAAACATAAAATAAACATTGTAAATTTATTATTGGTTTATATTTAGAAGTTAATGTTTTTGTTTACTAGTTTCAACGAAAATTTTGTTTACTCACAAAAAAAATTCCAGTTATAAATGGTATGTACAACTTTATATGTATATACGTGAATATATTATATGAACAAATTAGAAAATTATACGAAATATCACGTAACAGCAAAAAAAAATTCTTATTCGATTACAAATATCATTTTCAAGAAAACTGAACGTGTAAACAGACTCGCGCGTGGATCGCGCGCTTCGTTTTATAAAAAAAAAAAAAAAAAAAAAAAAAAAGTAAATTCTTCATTCTTATCCGCGCGATGTAGCAATTTGTAATATGTCTGTTTTTCAATTCGACGCAGCACGCAGTTCCACGTAAATTGGAATCGCCGATGACGTAACGCGCTTAACTACGCGCGCGCGCGCGGTCACACACGTGATAACTCNTTATATGAACAAATTAGAAAATTATACGAAATATCACGTAACAGCAAAAAAAAATTCTTATTCGATTACAAATATCATTTTCAAGAAAACTGAACTTGTAAACAGACTCGCGCGTGTATCGCGTGTTTCGTTTTATAAAAAAAAAAAAAAAAAAAAAAAAAGAATAAATTCTTCATTCTTATCTGCGCGATGTAGCAATATGTAATATGTGTGTATTTCTATTCGACGCAGCACGCAGTTCCACGTAAATTGGAATCGCCGATGACGTAACGCGCTTAACTACGCGCGCGCGCGCGGTCACACACGTGATAACTCTCGCGAGAGGTTTTATCGAAATATTTTGAAGAAGCCAATCCATGCCGGGAAATATATGCGTATGCGCGAGTTTTAACAACCTAACCCATCATCATCGTCGCTCGCCGCATTTCCTCATTCGCATAATGTGTACAAGAACATGTGTTACAAGAAAACATATCTACGACGTAGTGACGGTGCAAGAATAGCCATATCGCGACTTTTTTTTTTTTTTACGTCGTACTCACGAAAGATTCCACGGACGTGGCGGCCGCGCGCACGTGTAATATGAGAGAAAAAGAAAGACAGTAGACTTCGTCGCGCGCGTTCCGTGATAGCGTGCGGATGCTAAGATATTCCGGTGTGCGTCGTCGTCGCGTTGTGTTTCGGCGAGGGTTCCCGCCGAGGCTTTACATAAAGTCTTTGTTAGGACACAACGTGTCCAGAAATATAAATAACGATGTATGAGCAGCCGCTAAAGACTGCCACGATTTATGATCAACGCGTTGCGAATCGATAGGAGAGCAATCAAAGAGGAGGATATTGTTTCAGAATTGACTTAGCACACTCGGTTAAGGTTTGTATCTTTTTTTTTTTTTTTGAAGAAAAAAAATGTAACGAACATGTAATTTTTGTGCATATAAAAAACAAATCATTCTAAGGAAGGGAGACGAAAAGCGAGGAGAATTTTAATTTCTCGCGCGTTTAATAACCGCGACGAATCCTTTTTCCCAAGCAAGTCAGGTACTTGAGAACCGGGCGCACGCCGGGAAAGAACCGAAACTTTACTAATTATATCGGAAATCTGGAAACGGGGCGGCAACTCCACACGGGTCGACGTCTTCATTCACAACTTTCCCCAATGTCAGGGCCGTGGGCGTCGCACGAGACGGCGCGACGCGGCGCATCGACCAAGCCGCACTCGTTGAAGAAACATACCTTCAATTAGCGTCAACGCTAACAAAAGGCACGTTTGTGTTGTTGCTCCGCGAATCCTCCGCGTGTTCGCGAGTTAAACTAGAAAAATCGACCGCGCCTCCCGCTGCGCAGCGCACAGCGTCGTTCATTTAACTTCTTGTTTTAACGAGGAAAAAAAAAGACACAGACGATCTGTATATCATACGATGATGAACGTGTGTGTCATAATATTTTTATATCACACGAGTATAACATTGTAGATATATTATGGGTGTTAAATCTTCATAATATAAATCTTTATGTTTTCTCTCTACAACCTTCAACCCGCTTTGGATAATTTTATGTATGTGGGGAAAGATCTTGTTTTTGTAAACTTTACGATAACAACAGTTCGTAGCGGAAGTCTTGTAATGTATTGGATGAGTGCAAAAGTTCTAACAAGTTTCTGAAAGATGTGACTGCGATCCAACATTTTACGACAGTACTTGCAAACGTGTGGATGTGTTACGTACCGTTTGAAAGATTGTACGAGATATTTTTTTTTTAGCTGTCATTACGCACAAAATAATAAATTGAATTTTCGATAAAATTACTTGATCCATTTTTTTCCCATCAAAAGTTTTGCACTCATCCAATAAACTGACACGTAACGTAAGTAACATGTGACATTCTACGAGACAAATATTTTGCATTCAACGCTTAAGATTCTGTTAACGAGCGACTTTCTAAAAATAAACCTTTCAGAAATCGACTTTCGTCGAAACGGGGGGAATATTGGAGAATACTTTTCGAAAATTACAAGTGACGCTCGAACGGTCTCTCGAGGGCGGAGAGTCCGTCGACGAGATCAGATCTTAGATAGACAACGCGCGATATCGCCGGTTTAGCGCGAAGAACATTATTTGGTGTTTAATATTAATATATACATGTATATATGTAGTATATAAAGTCTGTTAACTCTTTCACTGACTCAATGAGATACAATGCAATATCTCTGCTGAATTATTTTTAGCATTTGTTCCAAGTAATTAAATGAACTCGCAGGCCACTCGATCGAGTCGGACCAGAGCTCCGAACTTCAAGACCACGAAGTTTAAACGCGCGAAAACCCATTTCCGTCACACGAGATATTAATATTTTCTGAAGTCGCGCTACATCGCGCTCGAACATTTTCGAGCTCAGCAGTGTGGAAGAGTTAAATCTTTGTACTTGAATAAAAAATTTCTATTTCATTATACAAATCTTCACATATATTCACATGTAACTAACTTTTGTACCTGTGAATTCCTGAATCCTGAGAAAGAACGTCCGAACGTGAATCCGTACGATACAAGACAACAGTTAAAGGTCGTTCGTTACTCGGAATACCTCCCTGAGTCGTACATGCATCTTATATATACATTTTTCCGTCAATAAAAGCTTCAGATAGATTAAAGTATATAGCCTGGACGACGACGGAC